CTGTTTGCGTTTTAAGTTGAAGTGTGTCTCATTGAATCAGGACTCGAACCTTCCCTGTCCACAAGGAAAGTTGTTTTGAATTTGGATGACCTTTGAATAGCAAGTGAAGCAGTTTTGTTCGCCTCCACAAAAGTCCTGATGTTGGTGCGTGAGGGAACCAGCAATATAACTGTTGGCTAATTTACAAGACCTGTTTTAGCTTGGCGATTTTTACATAACTGAAAAAGTTTATATCATTTAGACTTTGTTTCTTCCTCTCAGGTACTGATACTGTGTGTAAGAATTTAGTCATCATAACCCTTTTTTTTTTTTTTGCCAAACCTAAAGCAAATAGTTAATATTTCTGGACCTGCCCATAAAGACAGTTACACATCTTGTGTGCCAAAACTTAAAACAGAATAAAAAGTTGTGACATTGTGGATTACAATAATGTATTGGTATCTGACGCGTTTTGATACAATCTGGTTAAAAAATTGAATGATTAATATTGTCTCCAAACTCTTTGACCTCAGTTTCAGTTTGGTCATTTGCGAATAGTTTTGGCATGTTTGAGGAATCCAGAGCTTGACAGGCCTGCTGTGCTGATGATGGGTTGGTTAAGCCATAATTGGGCAGATGTTGCTCTGGGAGGAGTAACACAACTGGTTGTGTTAGGAATTTACTGCTTTACTATGATGACTTTGGTAGTTTTCTTCTCTTTCTTCTGCATGTGGCACAGCAGACTGGCTCTGTTGGCTAATGTGCCACGTTGAGCTGCCATCAGTGCTTTAGCACAGAGTGTCATGTTGTCATGCTCCTCTCCTGGCTCAGGCTCATTGTAGTGAATCAGCTCTCTCTCCAGAGGCTTCATGGGCTTGGTAGGTCATCACAGGCAGCTTGGATAATTATTGTGATGTTCTCAACTCATCTCTGCTCTCTGCTGTCTTCTTTCCATCAGCCCTCTGGCTCAGATTTCAGATTCCTGGATTAACTTGTGCACATCCTTGCCTTCAGAATGTCAAAATGTCAAATGTGCGACCACAGCTCTTTCCACAGCCCAAATCCCCCACCCAACAGCACCTAAAGCCACCAGAAGTAGCTTAATTTGTAGAAGGACTCTTGTCTTGTCTTTAGTGAGAACCTCTACACAGAAACCACAATTGTTTTCTTGTCATTACAGTTCCAGTACAAGTCAGTGAAATTGATGGCATACCAAAGTAACAGTTAAGTTTTAAGAGGAGTCACCCCAAGGGCAGTCCAAGACTCCAGAGACTGTATTCAAGGCTTGCTGCAATGAAATTCCAGAAAAAACTTTCCCACAATTCCCCCTTAAAATCCAAACTAGAGCCCGGAAGAGATAAAAGCTTCTCACAAAGAAAGAAAGTTCCCAAGTAAGAAAAACGGACAGGTGGACTTTTCAAGGGAGAATATTCCCCAAGTTACATACATGAAAACTAGAGATGCACCGATAAATCGGCCGCCGATTTATAAAGCTGGTTTTATATCCAACCGGCCCCAACCGGTGACCGGCCGGTCACTGTCGTAATTTGCTGGTTTTCCCCGAGCAAACTGACCCGCATGCGCGGTGCGTATCAGCTCAGAGCAAAACTGCTAAAAATTAGCAAGACTCGGGAGGAAAACATGTCGGTGATTTGACACTGTGTGCCAGAGCGACCCAAAACACGCTGTTTGTAATGCTTGCAAGTCAAAAGTCAGCCGTAGAGGATCAACACCTAAGACATTTGGAACAACAAACTTAATACGCCACTTGGAAAAGAAGCGCCCAGGCTTGTTTAGCAAATATAAGGAATACACTGCCATTAAGAGGAGGGATGCAGCAGAGTCGCAGCGACCACAACAACCCTCCCCCGTTGCTCCTATGTTCGACATCAGCACTGAAAAGTCCAAAGCCACCACTAGGAAAATAATGGAGTTCGTGGCACTGGAGGACCAGCCATTTAGCGTAGTACAGGATAAAGGCTTCGTAAATCTGATGAAACACCTGAGTCCACGGTACAAATTACCAAGTAGGGTGTTTCATTGGTACAAACTACCAAGTAGGCGGTACTTTTCTGACACAGCGCTGCCAGAGTCGTTTGAGAGAGGTACTGGAGGGGTAGTCAATAAATTACATTGTACTAGGCAAATGCTGGGACGTTTTTGAATGTTGTTTGAATGTAAGTTAGTTATTGATCTGTAAACTGGACTGAATGTTATGGTCAGTGTAGAAAATAAATCTGCTCAGGAGGCACTGTTGAAACTCACTCTATTTCTTATTTGTGAGGTTTTATTCTTGAAAAGGGGGGTTATGATAGCATATAGCCTACCATTAGTTGTGCTTTTAACTGCAGTTAAGCAAAATGTTGTCTGGGAGAGGGGTACTTAAATTAAAATTGGGAATGGGTACTCAAGCCAAACAAATATGGTGTCTATTATATGATTATAATTATTTCTCAGATAGAAAATCGGTATCGGAAAAATCGGTTTTGGCAGGTCAGACCTCCTTTAAAACCGGAAATCGGTATCGGCCAAGAATATTGCAATCGGTGCATCTCTAATGAAAACATTTGGCATATGTTTGGCAAATACAGAAATGCAACAGTTTCACACATGAATCAGCTCTCGCAGCAGGTGAGCTTTATGTTAGAAGCTTCTTATGAATGATAAAGCAGATCCAAGATAGTAAAAAATATCATTGGCGACAAGCAGCACTAAGCCGCATAAGATGATTTATCTTAGGAATAAATCGTTGCACTGAAATCTGTGAAGTTGAGGAGCACAGTGGATGTTTGTTTCACTGATAATTAGTGATGCACCAATCCAACACTTGGATCGGATATCGGCTCCAATATTGACAAATTAACTGGATTGGATATTTGATGAATGATGCCGGTCCAGCGTTCTGATCCAGTCTTTTTTCTTTTAATTAATATCATACACAGCAACACAGCGATTCTGTTCGCTCTATATTCTATGTCTGTCTATCCTTTTGCACTAAATGTTAACATGAAAGTCTTACTTCTTTTTGCTGTGTGCTAATGTGCAATTTGTTTTTTGTTAATAAATAATATTAAGTAAATTTATATCTGTGTTAATTTGTTACATTTTTTAACAAGACTAATGTCAAGCCTAATCCCTTCACTCACAGGGCATGGTATACACTTCATTCACTCAACAGTAGTATTGGATTGGTGTTGGATATCGGCCGATACGCTCAGCCCAGGTATCAGTACCGGATTGGAATGGAAAAAAATGGATCAGTGCATCTGATAATCTGCAAAGGGGTGCAGCGTAAGAACAGGCTGCAAACTCATTTATGGTTCGTTTAAAAAGAAAATGCAAATAGTGGAAAAATATTCTTGGGTGCTCATAAACATAAATATATCTGTTCCTGGACTCCTCCTGAGCCCAGGTGTATAGATGAGTTGGAACCACTGCTTTAACTATCAGCATGAGAAGCCACAAAAGTGGGTATGTGTTTTCAAAAAGTAAAGCATGACTCATCGTTTTTTAACTCAAGACATGTATTAAATAATTTGGTTGTTGAGTCCTTTGGTGTCTATTATCACCAAGGGAACATTTGTGTTTTTATCTTCTCTTTTTTGTGGGTTAACCAATCACAGCTTTGAAAGAATGTGTCATACTTGGATATGTGGTCAGGCCTGCTCACTAGATTCAAGTTTCTCTTTCTTGGAGTTTCCCATAGAATACTTTGAAATCACTCCAAAGTATGGACTCCTTAACAAAAAATTTGAGCCCTGTATGTGCTGTAGGAATATTCTCAGAACGTCTCTGAATGTGTGGACACGTGGACTTTTAAGAGTATATGAGGTCAAATCTGGTTTTGGACCTTGGATCTTGAGGCTAACCTAAGATAACTCACTGTTGAAAGAAAACAAGCAGCTGCAATCCTAACCTCACTGATGCCGATAAACAAAACTAGCTGAACATGCTGCAATCTGGACATGTAAAGTTTACTGCTTTTATTTTTCTCTTTGCAAATCATCACCACAGCAGGTTGTTGTCAAATTAGAAATCGGACAAGAACACATGAGCTTGTTCATGCGGACTGAGGCATACATTATTCTTTTACTATACTTGAAGACGGATATCTTGAGGATTATCTGTGAACTTTCTACCTTCACGTGTGATCTAGAGTTATTTCTACGTGCCCTCTGTCAGTCAAAATCTTGTAATCTCAGCTCAGCCTGAGGCTAGCCTCTCCACAAAATGTATCATGTCTTGTATCTGCGTTTTCAAGCTTCTCTGTGTCTCCCACCACACCTAAACAGAGGTGACATCTGTGACAATATTTGGCTTGGTTTTCGCCGTTTCTCCCTCCATCTTTCTGTTCTTCATTCCTTCTTATCCCTCCACCCCAAAAGCGATGACAGCATGTCACTTACAGTTGAAGATTTGCTTATATTCTCACTCCCCAGGGCATATGGTGGAACATATGATACGGCACATAGCAGGAAGGGAGGGGTACGACAGGAAAGACGAAGAGGGGATTGGGATGGATGATTGATTTTATGGAACATTGGAGCAGTCCTATAAATGTTCGTTCTTGCTGTCAGCTCTGGGTTTGAGATTTTACTGCAGTCTTTCAGGATGCTGACACTATGTAGCACTTAAATACATTCCTCATAAAATCACCAGAAGCGGCACATCGGTGACCAGTTTGCCTTAGTTTTTTAGGCGTCTATTTAAAGTGGAAATCCAGACTTGTCCTGAAGAATCAGGACCTGCTCATAAAGTGTGTTTTATACGACTGAAGACTGGTTCTTAATTACAAAGTCGTCTGCAGAGGATAAAGATCTTGTATTCAAGTTTTTAACAGATTTTCATATCCTTGAATGAATGTGTCATACTTTATGCATAAGGCGTGTGCTGTTTGACGCACACACATCCAGAGCTACTCTTCACCACAACATGTGTTAATGTGATTTTTGACTATAAATCTCTGTCACATGCTGCGCTCAGAGTTCTCACCACCTGAAGAAAATCAGTCTGGTTTAAAAAGCTGAGCCAAGACTTGGTTTTGGCTCTTCATCCTCCAAAATGTGCAGTGACTGATCTTTGTTGAGATTAGATTTACATTATGTTATTTGGACTCTACCACAGTGAGATTTTCTTTTCTCACTTGAAGTAACTCGTGGATGTGTTGAAATCTGATGAATATTTAAGTTAAAAGGTGAAGACAAAGGTCAAATGTGTGTTAAAGTCCGTCCAGCTCACCAGTTATCTTTTATCTTATTTTATTTTTTAGAAAATTTGAATACTTTAATTCATGAATTATAACTACTTCGGCTCTATATTTATTTGATTTTTGGCACATTAGCTGATATATTTAATATATTTTTTAATGTATAGACTTCTGTCTTTTTCTCTCATATCCCGAGATTTTTTCATATTTATTTGTTCAGCTACTGAGACAAGAGCCCAATGACATCCCCACTTTCTCTCAGACAGCTTAAACACTTGGCAGCAGTTGTTAGTCCATTTACACTGACAAAAGACCTTTCAGCTTCACTTGAAGTGGACAAATGAAAGCCACAGGAGCTATAATAACTTTCCACCATTCAGACCTTCTCCCTCTATCGTTTTACCATCTCCGTGCTGTCTTCCTGTTAAACGTATTTTCATTTCTCCTGCCAGTCGGCCTCTCCCTCTCTCCTTGTCTGATGGGCTAAATCTGTCACTGTCCTGTTAGAGAAATAAACAGAGCAGGAGGACAGAGAGTCACTGTGTTCTGGTCTCTCTGAGTTCTGATGAGAAGGGCAGACAGAGCACTGGCAACACTACAGTGAGGCTGTCTGGGAGAAAGGGACTGTTAGCAAGAAAACATTACGTCGTCAAAGCAGAGCAGAAAGGTCACTTGAGATTTACTCGGGATGCTCGGTGACAAACAAAACTCTGCTCGAGTAAAAAGAAGCCAAACAGGATGGACTGAATTTACTCACAAAATAAGAACCAAAGAAACCAGAGATGGACATTATCCATCTAAGAAGAGCCTTTTGTTGGACTTAATTTAAAAGTTACATATTACTCTTTTAAAACAAAGAAAAAATACAAATAATATTGCACCCTGTGAATATTTTCTAGATCTTGACAAGCCTTAGTGTAGTGCTACTGAATGAAGCACCTCATAACAATGAGTGACCAAAATTTGATGATACATGTTTCTTTTTTTTTTAACATGTATTGTGTTAGTCTTTTGTCTCTATGTAAATTTAACATTTGGAAAAAATACATACACCGTGTCTTAACAGCAGGAAATGTTCAAGTGATCATCAGCAACAAGTTAGCTCGGCTGAATTGTTTAGTGTTGGAGTATCCAAACCAGAGAGTGACACAGCTCTGGGCAGTTTCAGATGAGGCACCATTTTGACCTAATGCCCTGTTTCTAGTTTTGTCATATTATTTGTGTACAAAGAAGCAGCAGGGTTTTGCTGTGTTATACCTGTCACGTGACAGAGTTGAACAATGGAAATAGGACCCAAATGCAGAACAAAAAGAACGAAATAAAAAGCAACAAAAACACTACCAGGACACAAAGGATTCACGCATAAAAGATCATGGGGAACAGGCAGACATACACACATCAACATACAATTCATCAACAAGGACAGAGGGGAAGACAGGGACTATATACACACAGGGAAACGAGCAACAGGTGAGGCTAATGAGACACAGGTGAAACTCATGGGTGATTAATGAGGGAGGGAAAATTAGGGAAGTAAAACCAGACTAGAAACACAGGGAATCAACTCCTACAAAATAAAACAGGAAACACTGAAAACTGATCTAAAGAATAAAACACAGATAACAGGAGGGAAACAGGGTCAAACACAAACTAAGAACTCACAAGACAGGACTACAGGGGAACAGGAGCAGCAGGAAATAACACACAGAAAATACACTCAAATGACAAAACCAGGAAAAAACTAAATTAACAGAGCATATGACAATACCTCCTCATTTCACTGCTAAAACCTCAGTAAAGTGGCAGCCAGGGTGCTGGAAGTGTTACATAAGACAGTAGCCATGTTCACATGTGCAAAATTTCTTGATTCGAAAATTTGAGGGATTGGATAATCTGAATTCACGTTTGTATGGGTGCAAAATCAAATAATCTGATCGTGACGTATGAATCATGCAACAAGCTTTTTTCAGATTAGAAGCATTTGGACATGCGCAGAGTTGTCTGATTTCGCTAAAACACCTGCAGAAGAAGAGTTGTATTTACGCCTGTGCTGTCAACAAACCATAAAACGCTGTAGTGGCTTCATCCAATTCAGGAGTTTTCTCCCTGTTAACTGTTGTCACTAGATGGCACTCTTGCTCACGTATTTTACTGTTCTGTCAAAAGTTGCACTGTGCGTGCAGGTGTGACATCATTACGCTTTATATATGCCTTATTATGTTACCAGAGGTGCAGACACGGCTCCTGTGGTTGTGTTTTATGCCAGAGTGTTAATAATGAAACCTCCTGAACTGGCCTCAATAAATAAGCTAAAGAGTGAAGACTGAGTCAGGTAAGACAGTCACGATCATAATAAGCGTTTACATGGACACATTTCGGGATTACGATCGGCATAAACCACCCCTCTCAATCAGAATACAATTTATTTCTGATTGAGCCGAATTGGATCAGAATCTTCTGATCGACATGTTTACATGACTCATCTTTATCCCAATCGGGCATTTATTCAAATTATTTGTGCTCATGTAAACGCAGCTAACCTCAGACAACTAGCTAGACATTCTTTCTTCGTAATTTAGGGAAAATCCTCATTGAAAGTTACTCTTCAGTTTTCAGGTATCCCAACAGCAGTCTTATGGATTGCTGTTTGCTTTTGTGAGTCCAGAAGTGCTGATAGGTTGGTAGATTTACTCAGAAATATTACTCATTATTAACCTAATATTTTTGTTTATTACGGTCCATATTCTTGCCACAAATAAGACTCTGCCACTGATGCTGTCTGGGAGATGTGATTGATCTTTAAAGCACTGAAAAGCAAAACAAGATATGACCCAGCTATAATTTTAAAATCCACAAGTTTTTAGAAAACTTTTATGAAGAAATAGAAAAGCCTGAATTTTTATGAGTTTTTTAAATCGTTGACAACAGAGATGATGCACTTTACTTTATCTGGTTTTGGAATAGCTTCACTTAAACCTCTGATAAGTATTTAGCTGCTTGTGAAATAGACAAAAACTCCTACTGATCCATCTTTGTAACCAAAAATAAACAAACATGACTGGGAAAAACATTGATATGAGTAATATTTTTATGTAACTAAAAAAAACGTTTACAGTTGTTACCACTGTAAACTGAAAGTTCCTCATGGGATCTATTAAAAGCTCTCAAATTAAATCCCTGAATTATTATTCATTTTGAGTTAATGTATCAGGCTTATTCTGTTCTCCTTGGTTTTTGACTGCGATTTTCCAAGCTGGTCTCATCTTAAGGAGTAGTCTGCTTTGCCATCCCTGCAACCAAAATAAATCTTTCAGTTTTCTCAGCACTAGGGGAATACAGTAATGCTCTAATGCTGCAACAAAACCCCTTAAATGTAAAAGACAGGGTTCACTGACCACTTTGATGTGTTGAACTGCTGCAGATTAATGAAGTCTGGCTACTCGACTGGAACAAATCAGGTCCATTGCAGTGCAACAACTGAAGCTGGTTATGGTCATTATAAAGAGGATCAAAGACAGATTCATGGTTCACATTTAGAACAATAACAGTCACTTCAGGGCAGAAATCACTGTGGTAATACTTCAGCATAATACATCATATTTGACTGGGCTTTGAGGGTGTCTGCCAGTCTTAGTCTGTAAATCTGGTAGCCACAGTAGCTTGGAACCCTGCTGATATTTAGTCATGGGCGCGTGTCTGGAGGCCGAGCAGATTGCCACTTGTAGGTGGGTGTGAGTCACCAAATAAACCAAATGAATGGTTGGTGATGTTCTGGATCCAAAATGATCCATGGCATAATAGGAGCGAGGACATCTGGCAGGTGGAAAAACAAACTAGTGAATCACACAGTGCACATAAAGTGAGAGTGGATAGGAGTGTCACATCCAGCAGAGATGTGTCAGTGTGTGTGTGTGTGTGTGTGTGTGTGTGTGTGTGTGTGTATGTTTGTTTGGTGGCAATGTGATGAGAGAGAGATCAGTATTTTGAGGGGGAAAATATTTTGCATTGATGAGAAAACGAGTGCGCAAATGTTACACACATTCACACACGGACACAGAGTGACCCATTCATCAGGGTCTGTGGAGTCTGGAAACTCCCCTGTCACAGCCAAACACACACACACACACACTGTAACAGGGAACACACACTTACACACAGTGTATGCTGGAACACCGTGAGAAATGCGCGACCTGTGTATTTCATACACCTAAGGAAATTTTCAGCTTCAATAAATCTGCTGCGTTTTTCTTGTTTGACATGCAAAGCTTCGTATAATATTATGGGTTTGTTTTCACGCCATGTAAATCACTGAGGCCTGGGATTGCTTTGGCTAATTGTCATGTTGTATGTTTTTGTATTTTTGGTTAAATTTGATTTATTCATGGGTGCGGTAGGCTTTTGCACTTTGTAACAACCATGTTAGGGAAAGTTTAGAGCTATTTTAAAAGGCGTAATTCACAAACCAGAGTGAAGAAATAAATCATGCACCACTGAGGTACAAAAAGAAGTGTTTTTTTCCTTGTTACTTGTAAATTAGTGGTGAAATTCAGTGCTTTTTAGTAAGCCTCAAAACTGTATTGTTAAAAAGTGAAATTTAGGGTTGGCCTTACTGTAATATACAAAAATTTTGGTAACACTTAATTTGACACCCATCTCTATGACGCATTATGAATATATGTACAACGCGTTATAATCACGTTATAGCATTGTATAACTATAGTTATAAACACTCACAAATGATCATAATGCTTTATAACAATAATCATAACTCATTATAAAGCATTTCTTGACTTACGATACTTACAGGTTTTATAATGTGTTATAACTGTTGTATGACTTACATGTCCTTGTAAGTCAAGATAAAATGCTTTATAATAGCTTATGATTATTGTTATAAAGCATTATGATTATTAATGAGTGTTTATAACTATTGTTATACAATGCTATAATGTGATTATAACGCATTGTAAATATATTTATAATGCATTATAGAGATAGGCGTCAAATAAAGTGTTACCAAAGTTTTTTTTATTGAGAATTAGTGACAGCAAGTCTTGGTTTGCTTGCATTTATTTCTATTTTAATTCAAGGTCAGGTTTCTTGAATGGTAACTCTGAAGGTAAACTGGTTCAGCAGTCAGGAGTTGCAACATTTTAAGGATTAAGACCAAAATGTTACTGCAGCACTTGAGCAGAACATCCAGACAGAATACAATAAAACCAGACATTATGACAAAGTGCCAGGACAGACACGCATTTAGAAATTAAAATGACCTTACATGACTTAAGTGCATCATCTTGTGCTAGCCTTGTTATGTGGCGCTATTGCTGTGCATACCGAAGTGTTTCTGCAGTGTTTTTTTTTTTGTCCTCTTGGCAGCAACTAACCGACAGCCAGAGCAAGGAAGACGAAACTCGTCAGTCAAAAGATGATTCATGACGGACACTAGGGCTGGGTGATAAACTGCTTCCGATACCGACATTTATTTTGCCCATATTGGTATATTCGGTGTCAAAAAAATGAATAAAAGTTGGTTTTGGATGTGTGTAGGTAGGCTATGGTCTCATGTCCCTTTAAGACACTGACTCCACCCCATCCAGTCCACAAAGAGGTAAAGACAGGTGAGGAGATGGAGGAAGGTTCAAAAGCTGTAGCAGCTGGAGCGGCGGCTGAAGTAGACAAAGTTAATATGGGAGGGGGTGAGCAGCTTGTGGAGTAATTGAGGTGAACTGCTCAATATATCGTGATATTGATTTGAGGCCATATCGTCCAGCCCTAATGGACACATGTTAAACCTAAAAGAAACACAGTGTTAAAAGTGAACAGAACAAATTGTATTTGCTGTTTCTTTCTTTTGGATGGATCATTATCAACATTATATTTCTATAGTCACATCAATATTGTTTCCATCTGGAGTCAAACTCTCAAACATCCTTTTTTTCCTTAAGTAAAAAAATATGATATGAGTAAAACAAGGGCCATAATCTTACTGCAGATATCTTGTTTGTATTTCTAATACACACACCTTGACATTTGTCATTATAACTCTGTCACTGCATGAAATCCAGTCCAAGCCCATCTTAAATTTATAATCCAGATTTCCCGTAACTGTCTGGAGAGAAACAACCATGCTGCTCTTCCAATTGACCCGATGAAAGTGGACCTTTAGTATGATTAGAGCTTTGACTTCAGACGTCTAATTTGGCGGCTCCTTGATGTGATGGCAGAATAAAGACAGTGAGAGGAGAGAAGAGGAGAGGAGGACTTTAAGTGAAGAGGAGGAAATTGGAACATTGTGTGACCACAGAAAGGCCATAGACAGTTTTAATATGCCCCACTAAAAAGAAGAAGGGGAACGCCAGAAAAACAAAAGGGGGTTTCGGCAGCGTCTCTTTCGCAAGCGAGCTTGGCCAGTTGCTCAGGCAGGGTGAGCAGGGTGAGTGGGGTGTGACACACACATGAAGCTGAAGGAATGCAATTTCACACTCACTTTCAGCCTTCTTCTGCTGCATCGAAAGTCTCTGGATCCGTTTTTAAACAGGTAGATCCAATACTGCAGTTTTTGAACCTATCTTAGCTTTTATCCTCTTTGCAGGTGAACTCTCACATACCTGTGCGACTGATTTATTGCTTTAGTAGAATGATTGCACACTAATTAACCCTGACTCAGCCTACATACACTATTATTGCCATTCTCTGTATCCCAGTAGAGCTCTACAATTAATCAGATTCTAACTTGGATTTAGGCCCACTACGATCATTAGCATATGATCATCAGACTGAACGATTATGGTGCCCTCTGCTGTACTGCCCTTGCACCCAAGGGACAGAATAACCAAGGACAGAGAGGCTGTAGAGATCACGAGCATTCACACGTGCTGATGATCTAACGGCTGCCAGGTAAAAAAGTGCGAAACTGTTCTGAATCATCAGTTTTAAAGTTTGTTTTATGCAAGTTGAGACTTTTTCAGTTATAAAGAGGTTCCAACTTGCTTAAGTGTGTCATACAAATGAAAAATCATGAGTAATCGGTAGGGGTGGGAGAAAAAATCGATTCACATAAGTATCGTCATTTTTTGTTTTACAATTTTTGAATCGATTTTTATGTTCAAAAATCGATAGCTTTTTTTTTTTTTTTTCAAATTTATGAACAAATCTTAAAAACTGATTTACATGTTATGTGTATTTTTTGGGGGAAATATGGTTCCTGGAATAGTCAGTAGACAATCATAATCATTCAACTGTTTCACTGGTGTTAAAAATGCAAACTTAAGATCGAGAAAATCGACCATATCTTCGCAATGGCAATTTAAATTGAATTGGCATCCAAAAAGTCATAGGGGAATCGAATCAGGAGGAAAGACATAACATTTTACCAGAATTTTGGGTCTATGCTCAAAGACAGCATATCAATAATCTGTTTAGCTGTGTGGCACTTGCAAATGTTACAACCAATTAGTCAACTAACTTTCCACAATCCTAGTTTTTGGTTCTTCTTCTTTTTTTTTTTTTTTTTTTTGTAAGCAAGATGAGTAAGTGTCTCGGTTGTCATTTAAGTTCTCAGGTTTGATCACTAATATGGCATTATAAAAAGAACAGGCAGGCCCATGATAGTTATAAACTATGACAGATCACAAACCACATCAACCATCTTAACTTCCCAGAATACACACAGAGAAAAAAAAATAATAAATTGAATCATCTTTATGTCTCATTTTTAGCTGTTTCAATCCCACTATACTGCCTCATAGGAATAAAGCTAATTACTTAAGCAGAGACTTGGAAGAGAATTACCCGGTGGCAGGAATCAGAGACATCTTAACCACATTTCTAGGAGTGGGGATCTACAGAGACACAGACACGCTGCTCAGATTGACACTTACACACACACACAGACACACTTTCACAGAAGCTGGTGTATATGCATAGAAACACACACTGAAACCATGACATTTACGGAAAACCTCAACCTCAATGAAAAATGTATGGTGGTCGCATGATATGAATATGGGAAGTTATAAACACATATGTGCACATACTGGCAGTGGCATCACATGCTCCATGATGTAGCTTATTTACCAGAAACTGTATTAACAATGAGAACTCTAACTAGATGATTATATGATTATTACTGTCTTGGCTCAAGAAGGAGAGTTTAAACCGACTAAAGGCCAGTGGCGGTCAGAGGGAAAATGACATGAAAGACGAAAGGAGGAGTTTCTGGCTAACCTTGAAGGGCTTTAACATTTTTCTTTTAATTTCAAGAATCTTAATCTTAGAAAAACACTAAAGCAGGGCTGAGTCTCAAACCAGACACACATGCAGACCAGTATCTGTCAGTATTTACTGGTAACGTTTCCACACTAAAACCAAGGTTGGTCTTTTGTTTGAAGGTAATAACACAGTGCACTCACGGTGACCGAAGTTCAAAAAACAAAACAAAACTTTCACCACACGCACAATGAACACTTCCATGTTGTCTAGAGAGCTGCAAACCAGAACACCAAATCTGCAAACATCAAAACACACTGTGTGGATCATAACCGTGAGGTGATGTTCCTGATGTGCTGTGCTTAAGGGATAAAGCGCAAACTCTGTTTCTCTTTACCTCATGATGTCAAAAATACATATTGGTGTTGATTCATCCATTGTTTAGATTTTATTCCTGCAGAAATGAAAGAGGATTGATGTCAGACCATCAGTGACCATTTGAACCTGCATCCACACGCAGAGCCACTTTCCAGATGTTCATTGATAAACTATGGACCCGATTTGGCCAATCCTCTCACGCTGGACCACAATACTCAGCCATCTGAATGGGAGCATGACAGAGTGGCCTTCTCCCCAAACCTCACTGCTGCTTTGAACCTCTCGAAGGTTTAGAGAGACTTAGGAGCTCAGCTCATAATTTGGTTACTGGTTAGCCACTAGCAACCACACTCAGCTCTCTGATGTTGCCTTCAGAGGCTCAGTGCAGCTGGCTGATGGTCGAGGCCTGGCTGAATAAAGCTCTTTGTAGTGTGGCAGGTTGCAAAAAGCAGGGAATGCCCCTTCACTTGATTCAAGTTTATTTCTGTAGGCGGATGTAAACAAACAATGATTTATATGCTGGCATATTACCTGCACGTTAACAATGCCGTTTTTGAAAGGAGTTTATTCATCTAACAACTTCAGAGCAGCTGTTGCTCATAGATATGGCAAGAAGATGTAAAGACTATTTCACAACCCCATGAACGTCCATCAATCCTTCCCCACCCATAGGAGATTGCACAGGTAACTGGTTTGAAGTTCATCAGGTCTTGTTCAGCTTACATGCACTCTCTTAGTACCAAATTTAGTCACTGTGTTGCACAAGGTTTAGTGCTTTGACCAGTTATATTAATATTATGTAGGCCTTCTTTTGGCATTATCAGCAAGAACTCTCCATGAATGCTCATTGTTATGCAGATGATCCTCAGAATTGTCTGAATCTTAACATGTTTAGCAGCTAAAGTATCTCAAAGTATGTCCTGAATATGAACACCCAGATTACAGGGATTTTGTAGTGATTGAAGTCAGACTGTTGTTTTGCCCTTAGCATGTGTAGTGTTCACACAAACCTGCCTCAGAGGGTTTTATTCTAGCTCCCTGCACACCAGTAAGGAATCTTGAGATCTATTTGACGAGGATGTTTTTCCATCTCCCAAATATAAATTTCAAAGCCAACTTCTTGTGACCAAGACTCATATGGGACATTTAGGTATTAAAAGTGTGCAATTTCTAGCTAGTTTTACTCAGTCTCACAAAATCTTTTTACACTTGTTCTGTAAGAAAGCTGTTCAATGTAGATGTAGACCATGATTAACCCAACATCAGAGCTTTCACTGTCTTATAGAAAGAGGAAAAGGGTTTTGTTTCACTGGACCATCACAGGGGCTAGTTAAAGGGCGCCAAATAAGAAAAACCGTCCGGCTAGTGTTGTGTTGTTCATGAACTTCAACTTCTGAGTGAACAACGTAAATGGAATCAGTCCAAGACCTGATTCGTTCCTTTCTCAGTTTAGTTGAGCTCAGCTGCGAGCCTGGCGTGCCGGTCGGGATTGGAACTGCCGCCTTTGACTCTTTGGCGAACCATACACAGCCAGCTAGCCAGCAAGCGGGTGGGCAGAGTCTCATGATTTGCTTACAGCAAATGAATGATGTGTATCAGTCAGACTGTGAACATGCATCATTCAGATTGTGAACGAAACAAATGACTGCCGGACGACTTGAGGCAGGCAGAAGAGGGAGGGGAGTGGCATTATTCACAAACTGCTGAGCACTGGTTCGTTCACTGTGAGGATGAACGTAGGCTACGATAAAACAGTGCATTATGTGCCGTTACATTAATACAGACCTATAAACTGTCCTGCAAGAGGGATTTCATTTTGGCCAATTTAAAGCAGTACACTATTTGATGTCTCTTAAAGTATCATAATCCCTGCTATAGCTGCAATGTTTATTTATTTTCAAACTCTCCACTTTTCTGTAATATAAAAGAACAATGACTCGCTCTTGTTTAGCGAGCGTGCTGCTCGCTGCTGTGCTGTTTCACTCTCGTTGTGATGCGAATGTCGGCGGCACACAGAGAGGTGACTTTTCAGGGCAGGGGAGTGATTCTCCCTTCACAACTTGGCGAATGAACGACATATGTCACCCAGTGAACAACGCTGTGACTTTAGCAGCTGGGGAGGGGAGGGGAGGGGCTCGTTCAATGAACGAGCTCACGATCAGCACCACTGTGTCACTCACTCATGCACTGCATCCAGCAGTACGAAGCAGTGATTTATTTGGTGAACAAATCTTTTGAATGAATCATTTTAATGAGTGGATTCTAAAGATTCTTCCCATCACTACATCAGGCTGAAATGTCTTTTCTGTGTTTCTGTGGCGTCTTTTCAGCTGTCCAGTAGAAGCTGAAGTTCACACTTTATATTTGTTGTAATTATTGATGTAATTTTTGATGTAGTGATATACTGGGCATCTGTCCAGGGTATTTCCCTGCCTTTTACAAAACCTTTCCTGAAGGGTTCCAGCCTTTTCTGCCTCATAGCAGGTTTATGTAGCTTGGACTAAAATGGATTTATCAATCTGACCATGTGAAGAAAGTTTGAACTTTTCTTTGACAAACAGAATATTTTACATTACACACCAAACATTTTCCATATGGATTCCTGGAAGTCACCTGAGTGCCAAGAAAGCTTTCATATTGTTACTCCCCCAAAACCACAAGTTGTCATTTTTACATTTCTGTTTTCATAAGGATTAAAAAAAAAAAGATTCATTGTGTAACTCAGTGAGTTTTGAGGTATACGGGTTGGAGTGTGTCAGTATCTGTTTGATTAATAAGGGCCAGCAGTATCTATTTAACCTTTTAACCTTTTTTCTAAAAACGCCTTGAGTCCCCATGTCTTGTATCTTCCAACTAGAAAAACACAGGTGTCAAAGCCATCTCTGAAAATGAGGCAAATTTGCATTTTGACAGCTTCTTACAATTTCTTTAAATGGGATTGTTGTACCTAAATGAAATGAACATGTTTAATAAAATCAAAATAAGTAAGAAAAACACCAGAAAATTCAACAAAGTGGTGCTTGGCATAGTTGGTCTGACTACCAGTCTGATGTTGTTGGCTTTACAGCATCTGGGAAAAACACCAGGAACAGGGATCAGTTAACATCACAGTGTGAAAATGCTCAGCCACAGAGAAACCCATGATTCACACAATAAATATGTGGCGTCTCAGTCTAGTCATACACCGAGGATATCCTGCTCGATTTGGTTCAGGGACAGAACAGATAGACACTTTTCACGTCAGTGTGTCTCTGACAGTGAATCATGCTACTTGGTTTGCCTGTAATTTCACACCCTGGAAGAACCGCACCCTAACACACATACTGTAGGCTGCTCTTTATTAACACAAGCATTTTCATTATTTGTGGTTAGACTACCACTCCCTGCACTTTGGTACCTTCTTTAACGTTTGACCATGGAGCTGTTTGTTAAATGCTATTGGTTGACCATGTGAAATAGAGAGAAATAAAGGTGAATATACTTCTAGTGGCTTTCAGTGAGCAATTAACATACACAACAGAAAAAAGGGCTTGTGCAGTCATTTTCATAATGATGTGAATGCATAAACCAATCCAATCGTGCATTTATACGGTTGTGCACATGTTGGTTTTAGAATATTTGATTGAACCTTTCATTATTCCAAACCTTTTTTTTTTTAAACCCTTGCTATGAACTGAGTTAGCACACCTTAATATTTTTGATATTGCTTCAATTAGTCGCTACCAAGGCTCACCCATTGTGTTCATAAGTAAACGCATGTTATGAGTAAGTCTTATGTAAGTTACCAAAGTCTTCAGGTTTGTTCCTGGTTTGTCAAGACTTGTGGTACTGGTGTCCAAAGCTAGTCAAAAGTGGTAATGTTTATGGCCAAAGTCAGATTCAATTCCAAGTCTCAATTCTGCATGAGTTATCTAAGTTTGCTTAGCGTGTATTCACAAATTACTCCTGCCCAGTTCTGATACATTAAGAGGACAAAGGCACAACTAAATTATACCACAGAATCAGTGGTTTTTATTTGTCTTAACTCCAAACTAATCCCACAGATGAAAGACTGCTGTATAATAATGCTGCATCATTTTTGGCTTAGGGTTCAGGTAATAGCTCTGTGAGTCAAGCTTCCCTCAGCCGGACGTGAGCTGTTGAGGGATGATATGTGACAGCATGCCCAGTCTCCATAAAAGTGAGAGAAAACAGTATCCACGCTAGCCAGAATTAGCATCATAAACAATCTCTGCCTGTTAACAAAATTAGGGAAGGGCTCTCAGCCATGTTTACAATCAAACCGTGGTGGAAAAACCAACATTTTTTTAAACCAAAATCCTAAAAGTACACACAGACATTGAGTTACTATGACAAAAATATTACTAAGACTATGTTTAGTACGGCACAGCAGTGATGTACTGACTCAGACTTTTGTCATTAGGAGTATAGTGTTGTGGTTGGAAAAAGGAGCCTGGGTAGGTGGCTGCTTGCACGGCTTGACCTGAAAGTTCCCAGAAGATCTCTGGAGTGTTTGTAAAAGAATTACTGCTACTGTGTCAAAGCAGATCATTATAATGATGTGATTGCACACTTCTTTGGTATTCTTAATCTGTCAGTAATTATTTAACAAAACCAGGCATAAAACCAAAACTACCAGATGACAGAACAAATCATGAGAGACTGCGTTTGAGTGAATTAGATGCAATCAGGAAACTTTGATTTTTCATCCAGTGATCTTCTTCTCCTTTTTCAAAATGATAATCCTAATAATAACAATCATGATAGTAATAAGATACTTTTTGGCTAAACAGACCCTGCTGCAATGGTGTCATTGTATTAGCTGGAGGAAAAACAAATCAAAACCAAAATGCCAAAATAAACAACAATATCTCAAAGTTGTATTTCATATACCAGCCTGACAGAGATTAGGGGTTTAAAAAGTGGTTCTTGCCAAAGACAAATATTATAACCAGTTGAAATAAAATATCCAAAAACATTTTCATAAGCCTAATTTAGTCCTCCACTTTGTGTTAACCATGAAACTGCATGTAGAGAGGTTTTTAAAATTGAACAAAGAGAGATATGTAATTAAAGGTAAGTACTTATCGAACCAAATATAAGGTTATCACCAAGCTCTTGTGTGCCTGGACTGAGAGCTATATCATCACATGCAGTCCACTCTCTGGTATGTATGGTGGCCCATGTCTTCTGCTAAATGAAAAAGCTAATGGAGCTCATATGAGTGCAGTGCCTGGATAAGGCACATAATGACTGCATGAATTTATAGTGAGCAGTCAGAAATCTTACCAGATCCAGGAGCAAAAAGAGAGTGACAATTAAGTTGTGCCTTGTAGCAATTGGGTAACTGGAAAAGGCACATTGTCAACTGACATAACAAGGAGCGTGCATGTATGAAAATGAGTATAGAAAGCTACATGAAGAAAGTTTGGAACAAGTTCAATTTAACAAAGTCTTTTTGGCCAAACTCTAACAGTTTTTGAGTTTGTATGAATTCATTCAGAAGACGAGTATTTTCCCCTTTGGAAAATTAAAACAGACTCTTTTGTGCAGTGTGTCTGTGAAAACAGAGAAAGTTAATCATAACACTCCATATCATATTCCCCCTTGTCATATTTGATAAAACTTTGTAACTCATTGCCTCACAAGACCCAGCCACTCTAATCTGATAGTAATATTTCATTTTGTGCTGCATTTAACTTTGGCTTATGATACGCACTGTTTCCCAGCATTCAAATGTGACACAGTTCATGTCCCACTGTTGGTTGCAGCTGGAAGCTGAGGCGTCTGGATCAACGGTAGTTTGACATTGATTTGTCAGGGAGGTGAAGCCCTTTTCAATGTAGCTTTCCCACCCAGATCTTTTAATCTTGTACTGGGATCAGATCCTTTCGCACTACGGTCGCCACCCTGTTAGCTATTCGCCAACTTATGTTTTTCTCCATCTGTTGCATCTGTCCACTATGACTCTATTCTTGCAAAGCCTGTCTGGAAAGTATTGAAAGGATAACAGCAGCTTTAGCAGCCAGCAGTCAAAAAAATATATCTGCCCTCAGAAAGAATACTTAATGTAGTGTAATAGTAGTACAAACTAAAGCCCCCTGGTGTACTTTTAGGGGTTCATTGAACTGTGTAACACATAAAGCAGCCGTCAAATGATCCAGGCCTTACAGCTTGGCCAGTTTCTACAGTAGCAAACCACTGCTTAATCATCTTTTACACAAGCTTACTTGACTTGACTTTCGTGCTATTATTGTTAGTGATGGGCTGTTAGGTCAGCTAGTGCCCACGCTGGGTTTTACGGGCCCTATTCGGAAGTGCGTGTTTTTCAAGCAGGGGTATTTCACTCAAATGGCACTTCAAGGCTGTGTAGTCAGACTTTTAAACGATAGCTTACTGCTTTATTTCATGTCTTAATAAGTACTGCCTCTTGTGCGCATTTTTACATTGTCAGGTATGCTTTTTCTGATCTGTTCAGAAAAGACAGATTACAAGTAGTGCAAAGTATTTTTGTTAGAATAGCCTATTTTTTAAAATTCTTTTTCACTCACACCTACAAGCTTGCAGCAGGCTGCGGTAGTTAAATCAACTATGGACAACATTTTGTAAAGCTATATTTTACATGGGAACAGTGCGCAAATGTCAACATGCCACCATAGTGAGGTGACATGTAATTTCACGTGTATAAAGCTCTGAGGACGGGTAGGCAGCCCTTACCAGCAGGTCTTACCTGAGATGATTAAGAATGTAGCTAATGAGCAGCCAGTACCAGACAGGTCAGAGTCGTGTCCATGGAAGAATTGGCACCCTCAGAGGTTTAGTGCCATAGAGTCTGAGCAACCTTGTGTCATCAAGTCTTAATGTCCATCACCTAGGAGACCTTAGCTGCTCAGTGATGAATATGCTCCCCCCACACTCGAAGTATCTGGCCAAACATCTGTTATCACAACATTCTTTGCAGAGGTCTCCTATTGCTCTATGGCTGATGCAAAATTCTGTTCATGCTGTTAAGCTGTAACTCTGCCTCAGCTTTGGTTGAGATTTTCAGCCTTAGTTCTAACACTCCCTACTCCGTCACTAACTCCTGGTTCAATTTTGCATGCAACTAACCACCAGGTTGACCTCTAAAGTTGCTCTTCCTACCTAGTCAACCAACTGGCCATCCCCTGTAAGCTCAACCTCCAACCGGTTCTTTGACAAAGCTCTGGTCACAGGCCCAAAAGGTAAAGCTATTCAGGCTGATCTCCTACAGTTTTCGTGAGGCTTCCTGGTGGACCTTAGCCTGTCTTAGAGGCCTCTGTTCGGTTCAGAATTCGGTTCTATTTAGCCTTCCTTCTGTCTGGACATACCATCTACTGAGCAGCACTAATTTTCCTGCCTACCAGCCTGCTTGCTAAACCTGCCAGTAATGTATCCTGTTCCTAATATTACCTTGGTTTTTCCTGTAATCATCTGCACTTTATCCCTTCCCCACTCTTTCAACTGTGACAGCTTTGTTACCGGTAAATAATGACTCGCTACCTATCCAGATTCGTCTTTTCTAATCCTCGTTTACGCACGTTGCGTTATAACCCGTAAAGGTGTTTCTAACCATGAGAAACTCTTGCCAAACATTGCATCAACAAACCTCACTGTTAATGAACCCCAAACACATAAGTGCTTCCCACCACTCTACCGCCCACTGCTTCGCAATACAAGCAGCAGCCATGGCTGGCCCACACACCAATTCATGACCAGTCTGTTCTCCTGGCTGGACCACACTGCCTTCCCAGCACTGGGCCACGTTTTGATTCTTCTTGAGATGATAATTTGCGTTTCCTAATGCCCCTGAATGAATAAATAACTGGCTACCAACTAGTAAAGGATCCCTTAATTGTTTTCAGAGGCACCACCATAGCGTTGCTGATTATGGCTTCTAGCTGCATTTTCACAGGAACAAGTTGTCCTTTTTTATGTTTATCCCACAGACATCCACTTCAACCAAACCAATAACACATATTCTAATGAAGCCTGTTCCTTCTCGTATGTCTGAGTTCTGTTTGATATCACTTCTAAGCAACAACGAGGAAAAACAAAATAGTTTCAGTAGGAATTTGTCTGAAGCTCATACATTAAATTAATGACAAATGTGTAAGGGAATGTCATAACTGGCTCATATTACATTTTTACGTTATACAATGTATTTCCCAGCATCAGTTGTATTCTCTGAGTGGTTCTTTGAGATGACAAGATGGATGGTAAAACAATAAGATTACATTGATAAACCACAAAAAGAATGCTTTAAATAACCTCAAATTGTCTTTAGACTCTATGAAA